AATATTGAGTCACTCCTCAAAAAGTACTAGTTGTATTACTTGGTTATTTTTATGGTAAGTATTGCTCTGGCCTGCCATCTTGGCTTCTGTCTGTTTCCGTGAAGATCACATTCTCTCATTGACTTAACTCGTTACTTAAAAAAAGTAATGTTATTACGTGATTCACGTTACTTGTAATGCATTACCCCCAACACTGTTAATGTCTGTCTATGATCACAGATGCAATTTTATTGTGCATCTGCTTTATTCATGGGTTCAAGTCAGAGATGCCCAAACTCAAGCTGCGTCCCAAATGGCACACTATACACTATGCACTCATGCACTATGTACTTATGCACTTACACACTCAACAGTATAGTACATGTATGTAGTGTCGTCCTAAATGGCACACTCATGTTTTTTTACTAAGCGGAAACTCAAGCCGTTTTCCTAATGACGTTTGACGGTCGCGAAATCAGTGAAATAAACGACTGAATTATCAAATAATACCTGCCGTTAGTATTGCCGCATTCACCATCGGGAGGCGCTATAATCACTCTTGTAGGAGAATTTTGCTTTCATCATCCAAAATAAATAAAGATGTGCGCCCGATAGCTCCGCCCCTTCCGCTACGTAAGCAAACCTGCGGTCGTTGAGTGCGTGAAGTGTCCATCATTACACACTTCATTTTAGCAGCTGAATGAGTGCATCATCCGGGTAATTAAAGTGCACTTATTATTTTTAGAGTTTTCAGTGTGAACACACTACTTGCACTATTTATACTACAAAATGGCGTAGAATAGTGCATAAGTATGCGATTTGGGACGCAGCTTCAGTCCTGGAGAGCCAGTGTCGGAATTTAACGCCAACCCCAATCAGACACACCTGGACTAGCTAATCAAGCTCTTACTAGGCTTTCTAGAAACATCTGTGCAGGTGTGTTGAGGCAAGTTGGAGCTAAAATCTGCAGGACACCGGCCCTCCAGGACCATGTTTAAGCACCCCTGATTTAAGTAGTGCATATTTATAATAGCAAAACCTCATCTGGTTTGCAGATTGTCAGTCTAAATGAGCTTTTCTGTGGTTTCAGATCACGTTTTGGGTTTCTGCAGCTGCCAGGCAGATCCAGCGCATCCGAAAAACCTACTTCAGAAAGATCATGCGCATGGAGATCGGCTGGTTTGACTGCAACTCTGTGGGGGAGCTGAACACGAGGATGTCTGAGTAATGTCCAAGTCTATCTGCGTTATCTTAAACCATTGTTAGCTTTGCTCACGAGCCTGTGATTAGTGGTGTTAAATATTAAACTCAGGTACTAAAACCAGGTGTCTTCAATAGTTATCAGATCTGTTTTGGTGGAGGATAGGAATAAAAGTTTCTTATTGTGGAGTTAGACTATTAGTGAGTTTCATATAGTTTAGTTTTATTTCTAAAGATTTGGGCCTGGTTGTGCCCCAAAAAAGCTTAAGCTTGTGAAAGCTTAAGCTTACAAATCCCTTTTTTATAAAGTTCCTCACAGCAGGAAAGTTGCTGGTTCGAGTCCCAGCTGGGTCAGTTTGCATCTCTGTGTGGAGTTTGCATGTTCTCCTCGTCTTGGCGTGGGTTTCCTCCTGGTTGCTCCAGTTTGCCCCACAGTCCAAAGACATGTGCTAGGTGAATTGAATAAGCTAAATAGTCTGTAGTGTATGTATGTGAATGAGTGTGTATGGATGTTTCCCAGTACTGGGTTGCAGTTGAAAGGGCATCCATTGTGTAAAACATATGCTCGATAAGTTGGCAGTTCATTCCGCAATGGTGACCAATGATGAATAAAGGGACTAAGCTAAAGGAAAGTGACGAATGCATGAATGTTGAGTTTGATATGTCCTGGTTTTAGTTGGTTTATGACTGGTATAGATAAATGAATGTGGCACTAAACCTGTCAGTAGGTGGCAACAAGTCTTTTTGAGTGAATCTATTATTCAAACGATTTGCTCAAAATGGCTGATTCATTCAGAATTTTGCTTTTATATGAATGGATCATTGATTCATTGGCTTGCTCTATTTGTTCAGTGTTGCTCTGAGATTCACACATGTCTGCTTTAACCCTTGTGTAATGTTCATGTTTATTACCCTTTCGTATTGACTTCCATTATGATGACATTTTTTTGTTTGCAAAGCTATGACACCATATAATCATGCATTCTTGATTGTTGGTGGATTTCCCTGTTAGGAGGCGGTAAAATGTGTCATTTTAACTGTTGATTTTCAGTTGGCAGCATTAACCCTTTGGATAGGGTTGTGCAAAAACGTTTCTGGCTTTTTATGGAGTTTTATGGAGTAAAACAGCAGATTATAGTGTGTGTGTGCATAAATACACTTACTATGGCCCAAACCCAATTCTATTTTTGTACCCCTTCTCTTTCCCTTTGGCCCTTAAAACTGAGTGTGAAGGGGAAGGGCTTCAAAATGTATCCCTAAGAAATGGGACAGCTCTACAGCACCTGCACACATCATCCTGTGTCATCACAATCTCATGCTTCATATGAGATCAGATGATGGCGACTGCTTTAGTTATTCCATTTTTTTTGTATTTATCTTCAGAAAATCACTGAAGGCATAAATTATGTTATCATAGCGATATAATGTGGCAATAAGATTGTAACTATACTGTGCATTCACACAGTGGCCATATTCATCTATCTTACAGTTTTTCTCAGTCGCTTTGGTGCATTTCTCACTACACTATTTACATTTGCACAACAGGTAATGCATTTCTCAAAACAATTAGTCATTTGTGCACAACCTAGTAGCAGTTTCTCATTCTTTTCAACAAATTGCGAATGCTTTTGGACATGCATCAATTGCTTTCATACAACTCTCTGCTGTTTATAACATTATCATTAGCTTCTGTTATGCCAGTCAAAATTAACTAAACTTGTAAATGCTGAATAGTCATTCCATATAAAACTAATAGTCCTCATTTCATTACTTGAGTCATTACATTAAAAAAAGTTGAACTAGTTGTCAAAATCTGTCAAGCTAATTTTTTAAAACAAATTTAAATCTTAATTTCCCTGAAAATGTCTTTAAAATTGAACAATTTGATGAATGATTTACAGACCTGTGTATGTTGTAGGCTCAGTTCCAATATGTACTGCAATATTGTGTAGAGTTGTGCACAGCTCTACCTAAAGGGAGTTTATGTTTGTTGTAAATAAGAGTGTATTTATTCTTTTGCACAATGCTGTGAATAAATTAGGATTGCAAAGAGCAAATGCAGAGTAAAAATACATACATATTCAGTGTCTTGTACTCAGATACCTCACTAAATGCAGTGATGTCTAACTTTACTGTAGTTTTCAAATGGCTGTGCAAATAGTATACAGTGCTGTCCTGAGCATTTTAAGGAAGTGTCACCAAAATCTGACTTTTTTGCATTGAAAAAATGTAAAAGAGTAAACGTCATAATGAAAACATGACTAAGCCATTTGACTATCTTGTTCATAAACAATGGTGGCAGGACTTTTCATCTTGATGACACTGACACTTTGATTGACATGAATACTTGCTTTTGAGGAATGAACTATCCATTATGAGCAAGTGACACGCATTTGCAGGTTATCAGCTAGGTTTTGCAGTTTGCACTAATTGTTTTGAGAAAAACTGTGACACACGAGAACAAAATTAACATTATAGCAGACACTATAAAAAGCCCATTCCCAGCCATTAACTCTTCTGACAGGGTATTCGAGTGTCACCGAGTGTCAGAATGTTATAGAACTGCTGTACAGGAGTTATTATTATGGATTATAGATAGCCTAATTTAGTAGTTTTTATTTTATAATTTTTTTTAAAAAGCATGACGATAAAACACCAACATAGTTATGAATATACCAAATCATGTGCTTGTTTATTGTAAAGTCGTAATAATGATAAAAAATATGAATTTGTGGATCTCCTGACTTCCGGGTACAGCCATGCTGTTATTGTAGATTGTGTATTCTGGGAAGTTTTCATACCCCTTGGTTTCGAGTGTGGTCCTGAAAAATCTTTGTTCGAAGGGCTTTCCACCCCTTCCCCTTGGCCCTACTCCTTCAAGAGAATTGCGACACCTCTTCACGTGAATGCACAAAACGAGGGGTAGGGGTAAGGGAAAGAGGGTTTGGGCCTTAGTTTACTATGTTTTGAGAGCTGAGCTGCTTATTTAGATTATCTCAAGCAAATCAAGATAAGTGAGCAAAGGTTTCTCTTACACTCTTACATACACACACACACACTCACTATACTCTATATAACTTAATATTAAATGGCACATAGGTTACCCCTTTTTTCATATTTATTATAAGTCTTTTGTGTCCCCAGAATGTGTCTGTAAAGTTTCAGCTCAAAACATCCATCAGAGTATTTATTATAGCTGTTTGAAATGTTTGTATTATAGCTGGGAAAAGGTTGTTGCTGTTTTTTTGCACTGGGCCTTTAAGGCGAGTCATCCCCGCCCACCGTTCCCACGTACCTGTCAGCAACATGCCTCAACATGCCCTCGGCTGCCTCAGGAAGTAGATCTCACATAACGTTTGTGAGAAATACTACAGTAAGAACTTTACCAATCAGAATTTGATGCAGTTTTTGTGAAGTTGCAACAATGAGTTCACGTACATACAGTGCAGACACGCAGACACACACACACACACACACACACACACACACACACACATAACACAGGCACGTAGCGCAGACACACATGCACATACATAGCGTAGACACCCAGACACACGCACAGACACGTAGCGCAGGTACACAAGCACATACATAGCGTAGACACGCAGACACACATACACACACGCGCTTAGCACAGACACTTAGCGCAGACACACACATGCACATACATAGCGTAGACACCCAGACACACGCACAGACACATAGCGCAGGTACACAAGCACATACATAGCGTAGACACGCAGACACACATACACACACACGCGCTTAGCACAGACACGTAGCGCAGACACACACGCACATACATAGCGTAGACACGCAGACACACATACACACACACACACACTTTGCACAGACATGTAGCGCAGACACACACGCACATACATAGCGTAGACACGCAGACACACATACACACACACACACACTTAGCACAGTCATGTAGCGCAGACACACATGCACATACATAGCGTAGACACACAGACACACATACACACACACACACTTAGCGCAGACACACACGCACATACATAGCGTAGACACGCAGACACACATACACACACACACACTTAGCACAGACATGTAGCGTAGACACACACGCACATACATAGCGTAGACACGCAGACACAAATACACACATACATAGCACAGACACGTAGCGCAGACTAATACGCACATACAAAGTGTAGACATGCAGACACACACACACTTAGCACAGACACGTAGCGCAGACACACAGGCACATACATAGCGTAGACAGTCAGACACACAGACACACACATACATAGCGCGCACACACACACACACATAGACAGTGAGAGAGACACGCGGCTGTACTGATGAAGTAAATTTGAAGTGAATGGCTGTGCTTCATTACACACGTGCACACGTTTTAAAACATGTTAAACTTGTAAAACTCACTCTTGATCACGTCTGATGATGATTGATGATCCTAGCGAACTGAACAGACCTATTATTCCCGGTTGCTTTGCGCTCGTCCTGTCTTGTCGATATGAGTATATGCATTACTACGGAGACATGTTAATGCGCGCAGCTGTCAATCAATATTGGTGGGCGGGGGGACCGCACTCCTACGTAAAGTTGCGGTCGATCTGAAAACCGCTCCAATTGGTCCACCGTTTTTATGTTGTTAAATTAAAAAAAAAAGGACTGGGTGTGTTTATTTCACCCCAATATGACAGTATATACACTACACTTACACACATGTATGTCCAAACAGCTTGAAAAGTAGATTTTTCACCATAGGTGCCCTTTAAAGCCAGAAACTAAGCTTTTTTGCACTGTAACTGATGATCAACAGTAAAAATGACACTATTACGCCCCAAGTCTAGGGGAAACAAAAAGGGCATAATAAACGAAGAACAAACAAATGTGTTAGGGTGGTGGATTTCCCAAAACTAAACAAAACTTAAAGCAAAAGATTCCCTTCAGTCGACAACCAAACTCACACACTCAATTGAGAGTATATATGAAGATATTTATTATAGAAAAATAGGGTTTATCTAAATGAGCATTTCGTCAGGGTGACCACAGGCCAAAATAACAAACAAAAGAATCTATAAAATAAATCCACTAAATTACCTATTACTATTTAAATAAAAATACAAGAATCTTACCTTACTCCCTAACATAAACAAAGTCAAAAGTAATCAAATAAATAGGCAGGTCACCCCTACACGCTCAAACTCTCAAAAAATATTCAATCATAGGATGGTCATCAATACAAAGTTGATTATTGTTGGTCGTCGGTCGAAGGGGTGAGGGAAACCCAGGAGCTCCACTCCAAACACCAAACGCAGCAGAAATGAGCTCTCCGATTCCTGCCGGAAGCTCCCTTTTGTACAGGCCTCGTAGACCAGCAGCCAATCAGAGCAGGGAATCACACCGGCGTGGGAGCCTATAAGACAACAGAAGAACAGCAAGGAGGCGGGACAAACAAACAAAAAAATTTCATTTTAATGGAAGTCAATGGGGCAAAAACAGACACCAACATAACGAAAGGATAGTAAATTTGCCCAGAGTGTATTGTTGTTTTTTTTATAAATTTTTTTTTTTATTAAGATTTTAGAGCATTTTCTTAAAATGTGTGTCAAAATAAAATTTGTCACCAAAAATTACCCTATTTGCTGAAACAGATATTTGTGGCCAAATTAAGACTCAAAATTCCCTCAGAGTGGATGAAAACATCCCCAAGAGCACACGAGGGTTAACTTTGCTGGAGCTGTAGAACAAAACAGACAATGTTGTGCATGAAATGAAAAATTAATCTCACAGTGAATGCATCTTTGAGTATTTCTGTTCATTTCATCTTGCATAGATACTAGTTTAATTTAGCATGTTTGTTACTTTTTTGCAGTGACATCAACAAAATCAACAACGCTATAGCGGACCAGGTGTCCATCTTCATTGAGAGGATCTCCACGTTTATATTCGGCTTCATGGTGGGCTTCATCGGCGGCTGGAAGCTGACACTGGTGGTCATCGCAGTCAGTCCTCTATTAGGCCTCGCCGCAGGACTCATGGCTATGGTCAGTTTCACCACAGACAAATCAATATGAAGGAGACTGGAGTCAGGGATTGTGTGGCGTTTACAAACACTTAATTCATCATATTACAAATAAAGGCCTTAAAGGGAGAGTTCACCCCAAAATGAACATTTACTCACTATTTATTCACCCTCTTTTTTTCTTCTTCTGTTGAACACAAAAGAAGATAGAGTATTTTGGAGAAAGCTGAAAACATGTAACCATTCACTTCCATAGTAGGAAAAACAAATACTATGGATGTCAATGGTTACAGGTTTACTGCTTTCTTCGAAATATCTTCTTATGTCTTCAACAAAAGAAAGAAACTCTTTTGAAACAGAGAGAAGGTGAGTAAATGATGACATAATTAAAAAATAAATTGAATTATGGGTAATTTTTTAAAGAGATTTTGGGTATCTGTGCCTTTAAGTTCTTTTTCGATTATTCTTCATTTTGATCAGAATGTTTTAAATGTATTAAATTATGGCATTAAATGTTGCGTGCTCTGCAGAAAAAATGAAAGGCCTATTTTAATGTTTAGAAGACAAAAGGATAAAAAAGATGCTAAATGAATTTGGTGTGTTGTTGTTTTAGAAGTTTTGTTAAAAATGAATTTTATTAAAAATGAAAACAACTTTTTCTCTTTTTTTATTAAAAATGAAAAGTTGTTTTCATTTTTAATAATGAACCCAAATTAAATTATTGTTATTACAGTTTTTCCAGTCAGAAATTCTTTGAAATTAAAGTTTCAGACGGGCTACATAAAAAAAAAAAACAATACAAATATATTTAAATAAAATAAATACATACATGCATGTGCGCAAACACACACACACACGCACACACACATATATATATTTATCACCTTAGATTTACAAGGTTCTATCTGACATTTTTGTCAAAATTGAGTTATTGACATTCTTATTAAATGACAACTTATTAACATTATGGGGATGTTTTTTTTACATATAAGTTGTTTACATTTTAAGACTTTGTTGAAAAAGCAAATGTTATACACATGCTGTTCTCTGTATGGAATGCAAAAACTTTGAAGCTCAATATGTCAAAATCATTCAGAACGCAAATAGAACCTTATAATTCCAAGATGACGATATATATATATATATATATATATATATATATATATATATATATATATATATATGTGTGTGTGTGTGTGTGTGTGTTTGTGTGTGTATGTATGTGTGTGTGTGTGTGTATATATATATATATATATATATATATATATATATATATGTGTGTGTGTGTGTGTGTGTGTGTATATATATGTGTGTATGTATATATATATATATATCGGCATCTTGGAATTATATATATACATGGTTCTTCAATATGATTGTGTGTTAGCCGTGCAATATTCTGCCAGTAACATTACTCGTCCAACCTCTTCACCCTTTACCCTTGTGTATTACTCCGCCCACATACAGGAACAAGCTGAGGACACTCTACAGTTTGACAAATATTGCTGCTGTTGGACAAAATAATAAACTTTTGAGGATTTTTTAGTTGAGAATGTAGTCTTTGGGGCTAAGCCCCTTATCTCTTTCGACCCTAGCAACGCCCCTGATATAGATGTATAATAAATAAAGGTTTTGTATTGTCCTGAAGGCAGTGGCGAGGCTGACGGGTCGTGAGCTGAAGGCTTATGCTAAAGCCGGAGCGGTGGCTGATGAAGTGCTGTCCTCCATCAGAACAGTGGCCGCTTTCGGAGGAGAACACAAAGAGGCAGAGAGGTACTTCATCAAGTGCAAAAACTTGTTTACTTCTGCTTTTGAGTGAGAGAACCACAACATTGAACTTTCTTTCATCTGTAATTATTTATTTAGATAGTGAAAAGTGATGAGAAAAAGAGAGGTTAATTTAAATCTTATTAATATGATTAGTTATTTTCCAAAAAATAGGAAGGATAGTTGTTTTCAATGCATATTAATGAAATATTTTTAAAAGGTAGTATTTTGCACGGTAAGATCATAATTGATAAGACATTTGCTGCTCAAATTTGCTGATCACTGCTCAAGTTAATGGTAGTTTAATACTGGCTGTAGAATGCTTGATTCTGATTGGCTAATAAACGTTTTAAGGTGTGCAGTTATTTTCAGATAAACACACAGCTGTAGTAGTTCTAGGCAGGTTTTAAATCCGTTGCGAAACTCGAGAGCTTGCAAATGTAAATGTGAGCACTTGTGATAATAATATTTGTATGTGTAGGTTGAAATGTACACTTACAGCTCTGATGTGAACAGCTGAAATCCTCGATTTGCACACACACACAACAACCCACGCACTTGTGTTTTAAATTGGAAGTTGCAGATTAATAGTTGTGTATTTGTAAAATGTCATTCACAAATACAAAGTGACAGACACACGTGTGCAAGGCAAATTTGATTGCATCTCCATTCTACAACCACAGGTCGGCACTCACAACCTCTCAGATTTGTCAGTACAACTACAAATCTCCCGCGCTCTGACTTTTGCTACACATCTCCCGCGATCTCTGTAGCAGAACTCATCTGTGCACTCGCAGATGCAGAGGCGTGAGCAGCGCTGGGCGGGGGAGGGGCGGGGCAGGTGTAAAGCTGTTTGATTGGCTGAAGCCTGACCAATGAACAATGCCAGCAGCCAACAGGACTGAGGTGCAAAATAATAATTTCCCACGATTATTTCATTAGTTAGGGTTTATTTCAACTCTTTTCTGAAGAGATTCTTGTTAAAAATCAAAAATTCTACTGTAATGTACATACCAGTAAAAGAGCAGCAAAGCCAGTTTATTTGCTACAGCCAGCCAATGAGATGGGGCGTTTCTGTTTGTCAGCACACAGGGCAGCTCACGTTGTTGGAGGCCTCGAGCAATCAGAGGGTAAGTTATGATTTTTTAATAATTATCTATATGTTCAATACTGTTAGCTAAGCTAAGGACTGTGCTGGGTGCTTCTCTTGTTTGTTTCTTATATAAGAAAACAGTTATGAGTTATCTAGGAGCTGCTTTCAATCATGTTATATGGTTCTAAAGATACGATTCAACCCACATGAAATAAGAAGTTGTAATAGCATTTATAGTAAACAATATTACGTTTTTGAACCATACTAACTATAATAAACTGTATTATACTGTATATTTTGCAGTATCTACAACTTTGTTAATGAATGCAACAGCACACTGTAGTATTAACTAGCATGAACTTTAATGAATTGAAGTATACTTTATATGTAAAACCTAATACATTTTAAAGCAGTTTCATTTCTTTCTAATTTATACATCTACATGCATTACATCAGATTTAGGTCCACAACTTGCATCCTTCAACATGATATGTGTGCTCAAAGGAAGAGCAACTAGGTGAGGGAGACAGTGTCCATCGCTCGGCAGAGGGTCCACTTTGAGCATCTCATCTGCAGGGTTAAGCAACATAAGCTGAACAGTCATCATCTCTCTCTATTACAGCGAGCATCAACCAGCTTTACACAATGGCTTGCTTTCTAACCATTAGTAAAGGCTTGAGCAAAGGATTAAAGAGGAGATAACATTTGATGGGTAATGATGAAGTTGGATTTACCACCTCCATCTCAATATGAACAAGGAAAAACCCTGAAATATTTCAATACAAGTAACTAGACATTTGCGCTACACTTATTTGGACTGTAAATTTTATTTGACAAATTACATTCCCTTACAGAACAGGTGTCAAACTCAGTTCCTGGAGGGCTGCAGCTTTGCAAAGTTTAATTTTAACCCTAATTAAACACACCTGATCAAACTAATTGAGTCCTTCAGGTTGTTTGAAACTTTCACTTAAGTGTTTTGAAGCAGGGTTGCAACTAAAAACGTGCAGGGTTACGGCCCTTCAGGAACTGAGTTTGACACCCCTGCCTTACAGTAAAGTGTAAAAATACTACATTAAACAATTATCAAAATAAAAGTTGTGTGTGGGTGAGTGTGTGTTTTGTTCAAATCTGTAGTCATCTTGGCAGGTAAAAAGAGAAAATAAAGTCGGCTTCCTCTTGAATGATCTGAATCATTTTGAAGTGTTTGTAGATGAGCTGGATCATCATGTCATCTTTAGCATAAATAACATCCTTTTCAAGCTATGCAGCTTCTCTGAGTTCCTCATCGACTTGAAACATCCTGATCTCTCCTGTCACTCCATCCTTACAGGAAACTGAGAAATAAAGGTAGTAACTTTCATAATTAAAAAAGTGATATAAAGGACACACTGTACACAAACATGTAAACAGATAGATGGATAGATAGATATGATGCAGGTTATAATAACAAAAACCGGTATGATCTGTAAGAAACTGAAACGCCTAGTGTTATTTTTAATTGCTATTAATGTGTGCGTGTGTGTAAATATACTTCAATTCATTAAAGTTCATGCTAGTTAATACTACAGTGTGCTGTTGCATTCATTAACAAAGTTGTAGATACTGCAAAATATACAGTATAATACAGTTTATTATAGTTAGTATGGTTCAAAAACGTAATATTGTTTACTATAAATGCTATTACAACTTCTTATTTCATGTGGGTTGAATCGTATCTTTAGAACCATATAACATGATTGAAAGCAGCTCCTAGATAACTCATAACTGTTTTCTTATATAAGAAACAAACAAGAGAAGCACCCAGCACAGTCCTTAGCTTAGCTAACAGTATTGAACATATAGATAATTATTAAAAAATCTTAACTTACCCTCTGATTGCTCGAGGCCTCCAACAACGTGAGCTGCCCTGTGTGCTGACAAACAGAAACGCCCCATCTCATTGGCTGGCTGTAGCCAATAAACTGGCTTTGCTGCTCTTTTACTGGTATGTACATTACAGTAGAATTTTTGATTTTTAACAAGAATCTCTTCAGAAAAGAGTTTAAATAAACCCTAACTAATGAAATAATCGTGGGAAATTATTATTTTGCACCTCAGTCCTGTTGGCTGCTGGCATTGTTCATTGGTCAGGCTTCAGCCAATCAAACAGCTTTACACCTGCCCCGCCCCTCCCCCGCCCCGCGCTGCTCACGCCTCTGCATCTGCGAGTGCACAGATGAGTTCTGCTACAGAGATCGCGGGAGATGTGTAGCAAAAGTCAGAGCGCGGGAGATTTGTAGTTGTACTGACGAATCTGAGAGGTTGTGAGTGCCGACCTGTGGTTGTAGAGCAAAGATGCAATCAAATTTGCCTTGCACACGTGTGTCTGTCACTTTGTATTTGTGAATGACATTTTACAAATACACAACTATTAATCTGCAACTTCCAATTTAAAACACAAGTGCGTGGGTTGTTGTGTGTGTGTGCAAATCGAGGATTTCAGCTGTTCACATCAGAGCTGTAAGTGTACATTTCAACCTACACATACAAATATTATTATCACAAGTGCTCACATTTACATTTGCAAGCTCTCGAGTTTCGCAACGGATTTACCTTCATAGGTTTTAACTGCATTAAAGTTCCACATGATTTCTGTGTGGAGTTTGTTGGCGTGGGTTTCCTCCGGGTGCTGCAGTTTTTCCCACTGTCCAAAGGCATGCACTGTAGGTGAATTGGATTAACTAAATTGGGCGTAGTGTGTGTGTGTGTGTGTGTGTGTGTGTGTGTGTGTGTGTGTGTGTGTGTGTGTGTGTGTGTGTGTGTGTGTGTGTGTGTGTTATTTACACACACCTAAAGAGTGAAGGGACCAAAATCTCAATATTAATATCAGTATGCTCATTTCAATACTCAAATCAAAGCAAAGAAATGATCACAACATTATTTGGTGCTCTAGGAGAGGCTGAAATATCAATATTAATATCAATACCAAAATATTGATGTTAATTCAATGACATGATTTTTTATGAGACACAGAAGCTTTTTATTTTGTTCAAAACGAGATAAAATAAATACTGTACTGTCACCTAGTGGAATAAAACAACACATTCAGAAAGAGACCAAACAGATCGAAGATCACACAAAGGAAACATTAAAATGCAATGAACTGAAATGTGCAAAATCCAACATATCAGGGCTAGGCGTTTTTTCCGATTAATTCAAATTAACATTTAAAGACTAATTTGTTTTGTATCAAATCGGGGTATCGCGATTTCTTATTTTAATACCATTAGATACATTATAATTGCACCACTGCGCTTTGGTTTACTCTCTGTATTAGGCTATACCTGACTGCCTGTCAGGGTTTCAATCATGGTAGTGAGGGACTGAACACAGATTGGACAGCCTAATTTAACCCAATGCATGAAGTTGTGGGAATGCATTGCAGAGCTGCATGGTGCAATTACAACAAATACAAGCATTTATCTTAAGTTGTGTATTTTTGTCTTTTTAATACCGTTGGATCAAACGCGCTTTGATCCACTTCGCTATTCCAGCACTGCCTGACGAGGGGATTTACATTCAGACTTGCAACAAGTAAAATCCTACATGAATTCACGCTTTATTAAGTCACGTCTGTGTGGATTGTCAAGACAAATTCCCTTATCATGTCGATAAACTCGATCTCTCTACACGTATGAAGGACGGAAAAATCTGCCATGTTAAACAACCGCGCCGATCTTATAGTTTGAACCGCGCTGATCGGCTGCTCAGGCTGGCTTCTGTAAAGATCAGCCTATACAGATCACACAATCTCAATAAACACCATGTAAACATATAAATATTTCGATAAATATTGTTAACGGAATATTTATAACGACATGATCTTGCTTTTGGTTATATGCCGGCTATGAGCTCTTTACGCGCGCTCTCTCTCTCACAAACCGGGAGTTGAGATGCGCTGCAAAAGAGCGCTACAC